TAAATTAAGTTTTAATCTAAATGTTTAATTTTGTTTCTGAGCACTTTAATGCTACATCCAATATAGATATCTTAAAATTGAATATTAATTATTTAAATTATAAGTATATTTATATTTATTAAAACTGAATCATATCAAAAAATTAAATTCGCAAACTTAACTTTTTTAGGAAAGAAGAAACAGCTTTTTAAAATAAATAAATAAAAATATATTTTTAGAAAATTCATTAATTTACCATGAGATAATATTTCATTAAAGTTTCTGAAAATTTTAACACTCCTTTTTATTTATTTTAGACTCAATATTAAATTATGATATAGTTCTCTTTTTCTTGTAAATAGATGCTGATTTAATGAAAGGTATCACCAATAATGCATTTTTTTCATTCTTATTTTAGTATGATATATTTTTATTCAAATATATATAGATACTTTTATTAATTTTGAAAAGACTGAACATTTTTTTAAGCCTTATTTTCTAGTTTTATTTAAGGAAATTTAAAGTGTTTTTTATATAAGGAAAGAGCTTAGAGATCTGAATCAGTCCTAATTTTTTAAGATTGGGTGGGAAAATTTTTCTAAAAAATCTTTTCTTCGCGGTTGATGTCAAATTTATATTTTTTTGTCCCAAAATTAATACTTGTCCGCCAACCCTGAATTTATTTAAATATATTTTTTGAAAAAAATATAATTACACTTTTATATTTTTACACTGAACAATCGAGTTTTTGATCATTGCAATGTTTAAAAATATATTGATTTTATTTTAAAATTTAAGCGAAAACTGGCCCGACCAATTTTTAAAAAAAATATTAGAATCGACCGAGCCGTACCTATATTTTTAAAATAGGGCTAGCCTGGCCCTAACCTACTCTTGCAGATCTCTAAAAAAAGGTATTATTAACATTCTAATCATCTAAAATTCAACGTATATTTTTTGTTAACCTGTTTAATTTCAAATATGACTATTTGTGCAAAAGATAAAAAAAATTTAATTTAAGGCAAAAAATCCCGGAGAATTGTATTCTCCAAAATGGCACTAGATAAATATAACCGATTTTAAAAATATTAATTAAATTTCTTTTATTCTACAATTGTTTAAAATATTTGAAGTGATAAATTTATTATCTTAAAGAAATTTTTCTAAACACTCAACCATCATAGCATACGACAAATTTTGTTGATATTTAATAGTTTTCTAATCTAACCTTTATACTGTCAAATTTTGCATATAAAAATCAGGATCCTATTGATTTATTTTTATTATATTGTATTGGTAAAAAATAAAATTATTATATTATCTATAATGAGTAGGTTATTTTAGAAGAAAAAAAACTACTATTCGTAAAAAAATTAGTATTATTAAGTTTGACAACCATATCATTTTGAACTTTTTAGATGTTTGAATAAATAACCCCTATATCAGTACATATCCGCAGCGAGAGAGGAAAAATATTTATATGGCCATTTAGAATTTTTTCAAAAATAATATTGTTGATTAAAAATATATGTATCATTTTACCCCTTGTCCCTTATATATTTTAATTAACAATTCTTTATCAAATTTACAGCAGAATTAAATAAAAGAGAATATATTCTATAAATTACTATTGATTTCAAATTTTCTTTGGCTTTATATTTTCCTACCTTTTAAAGATCTCTCACCAAACCACCTGAAATCTTTTAACTGCTAAGCTAAAGTAAAATATTTTTTAACATTTAAGGTTTGAAATTTAATTAAAGAATAAATATGAATACTCTTTTACAAGTATCATGAAAATCAGAATCCCAATCATCTTGGTGTGAATATTTAAATAAAAAAATTTAATGGACACCTTTATAAAAAAGAAATGTGTAGTTGCTATATTTGAACAAAGTGCTTGAATTTCTTAGAAATCAATTTTCTTTATTTTAAATAAAGTTTTTCATTTACATACTCCAGCATTTATGAGATGTTTATATAGCCCGAGAGACAAAATAAAATAAAAATAAATGTCTAATTCTTTGTTAAACACGAATAAAAAAATTAAAAATTTCGCCATTAAGCAATAATGGTTTTAAGGAGTTAGAATACGCTATTACAAATGATCTTACTGAAACAATAGCCTGAAAAAGACATTTCTTCAGAAGTAGACAAAATTAGACAATATAGTATATCCAAATTTTCTTATATTCGAATGTATTAACACAGTATTTAATTACACAAGTATTTTTTTATTTGAAAAAATTACATCAATTTGATTGAGACTATGAGGAACGCTGAAAGCATTATATTGTAATTTAAGGAAATTAAGGGAAATGTAGAAGACGAATTTCATAAATATAATAGCTAATTGCTTCAATATTATATGGGTCAGTCTCAAAATACTATATAAACTTCCCTGTCCTTTTCCTGGTTCCCCTTCCCTTCCTATATTTCTCAAATTAAAAGGTTTTTGATTTATCAGGCAGCATAATCTACAAATATTATCAGAATTTTCTATTTCATTGATTTTAAAATATTTGGCAGATTTATATTGTGAGGATGTCATGAGGCATTACCAGCTGAATGCTAAATATAGTCTTATATAAGAAAATATTCTTCCATTGGTAAGTGAACTAATGATTTGAGTTGTCAAGTATATAATAAATTTCATATATATATAAAGAAAATAATCTAATATATGCATGAAATGAAACATTTTTGAAACATTATCAACCATATTTATACCTGAAAAGTACTAACAAAATATATTAAATGAGTTATCTGTCCTTCTTAATAAACATAACAACACTAAGGACTTATAAAATAATTAAAAAATTTGATAATTCTAATGAAGATATAATTTCACATTTCAAATTTATAATTTACTTCATAAGTATATTTATTTCCCCCTTTTTAGATCATATTTTTTTATCATGTATACATGCCTAAGAATATTTTTGTGCATTATTCTATATTCCCAATATTTATTTAATATTATTAATTATAATGCCTATTCCATATACTTTTCAAAATTTATATTTTATCCTTCATTTATATTTGAATTTTTATATTAGAAATTGTCAATATTTTATAGTAACTAGTCCTATTATATCTGAAACATTAGATATTCAAATAACTTTTAAAAAATTTATTATCCCTCCCCGCTCCATAAAAAATTTCTAGTATGCGCGAGCGTGCTGGATAATTTCACATAGCTAACCTATTGCTTACTTTAGATTAAAATATAAGATCAGAGGCAATTGTATGCATATATACGGGTTGTTCATAGCCCTTTACCCGTATAGGATGCTTTAAAATATTCCTGGAAAATTCTGAAATTATAATAAATTTTATTATATCTTTTTTACTATAAATTTTCCATACCCCCGTTCTGTGCTGGAGCTACTCTCTACATTATACCGCTGCTAGTCAGTAGCGTTGCCAGGATTTATCCGATTAAAAAATTTTTAGGCTTCACCCCCATATCCTATCTTTAAATATTGTTAATTTTATTGTTTTATAGTGTCTAACCACTATAGTAGCCAGCATAAATGAAATAAAACTTAGTCATAATTTTGGCCAAATTTATGATTATTAAGTGACTGAAGGCATTATTCTAAAAATTTTATCAATGTATAGTCAATTGTAAATTAATCCATCCAGTGTAGAAATAAAAGAAATTTGCCCTTCCCCCAAATCTTTCATTATTTATGATAACTCAATAGGTCTTGGGTTATTTTATTTGAATATTTACTGATATGATATGATGTCAAAATATATAAGCAAATAATTAATTTTTTAAAAAGGTAAAATAAATAAAGGTGAAAAATTGTAGAAATAGAATTTACGTATAACTTAGTGAGTGTTAAATATAATTATTTAAATTAAATTTTTGTGTTGATTGATTATATATTTAAATAAATTTAAATTGAATAGTTAATTTTAGTTTTATTTGAATATTGTTTATTTTTAAAATATATTAAAGTTGATTGTTTAATATGTTCAATTAACTTTTATATATATATATATACTATGTTTTTAGATGTAAAAGAATATATAATAAAATTTGATTTAAAAAAGAATTAATTTAAATAGTTTCTTAAAAATAAACACTTTCTTTTATGGTGCCCCGGTTACGGTGGTACGTTTTTCGTTTTTCTTTCAAAAAATAATATAAAGTTAAATAATAAAAGTTATAAAAAAAAAATATCCTTACCTTGAATTCTTTTGTAAAAAATAAAAGGTAATGGAATTACTTATCAAATTCGTCGTTCGATATGGGAGATGATAAAGGACAAATAAAATTTTTTGACTTTTCTTTTCGATAGTCAAAATTTTATTCAAATTTACAAAATTATAAAAAGGTAAAAAAAAAATAAAAAAATAAAATAGAGTATATATATATATATAAATAAAGGAGTTATATGATAAAAAATATTTTTTCATCTAAATCTTTCAATTTTTACGTCGTGATGTTTTGTTTTAAAACTTATAATATACCTCAATACGTTATTATTGATAAAATGTTGAAAGAAATGGGAATATGTAAAGAATTACGAAAGATGATTGATGCATATATGTCTCTGAATGGGAAGCCCTATATTTTTGATGACAATAATTTCATTTTTATATTTTGTAAAATTATTAAATATTAAAATTTAAATATCTTTACGCTTTACATATTTGACATTATATTTATAGGGTAAAAAAAAAATTTTTTCCCTATATTTCATTATTAAATATAAATTTACGCAATGTTTAACCTATAGAATATCAATAAATTTTTTTTTAAAACTTAGTCACGAATTAGTATTAAATTTTTCACAGACAAATTATATTGAAACTTAGTGGATTAAATCCTCTTACGAATTCGAATTAGAATTTTTATAGATAAACTATTAAAACTTAGTGGACCATATTCTCTTGATTGAAATTAAAATTTTTAGACAACTTAAATTTGATTTTAATGAACTACAATGTTTTGCTTTTACGATTTTAAATATTGAAAGTTTACTTTACTCAAATAAAATTATATCATGGACGAAAAATTAACTCTTACACACACTCAATATGTTCCTAAATTTCCCAAGTTATCAGGAAAATTATCTGAGACTTATCTTAACTTAATAGAAACATACTTTGAAGGACATATTGAGTCAGACTCATCTAAAGTTAGGACACTACTATGCAGCTTACCAATTGAGATTGTAGACCAAGTTACGTCGATATGTTCTAAAGCACAGTTAAAAGATTTTAATATTGTTTTTGGTAAATTGAAACTGTTAATTCCAAGTGAGGACATTAATGTAAATATAAAGAACTTTAACTTAGCGGTACAAGGTGCCGAGGAGTCTTTCCATACTTTTTATTTTAGAATTTCAAAACTTCATAAAAAATGCGATTTTGATAACGATACAAGAATGATTGAGAAATTAATAACTTGTTCTTTAAATGATAATATCAGAAGGAAGTTAAATAAACATAAGCACGAAGGTTTAGATAAGATGATGAAATTAGGAGTGGAGTTAGATGGCAGCAATATTAAACCAGACGTTAGCGATACAAATTATGTAGACAATGATAAAAAATTGTATAAAAATAAAAAGTTTTACAATTTAAACATGGATAAAATACCATGCAAAAGTACTTTTAGTAATAATGAGAATAATTCTAATGATTATGAACATAATAATTTTAAAGAAAATAATTTTAATTATAATGGACGTAACACTCATAAGGAAAATTTTGATTTTAAGAAGAGGAATTATAATGATTTTAGGCCTAATAATAGTGCTAGCCGAAACTATCAAAACAATATTTTTCGAGACAGTGAGGGTAACTCTAGAAATTTTCGTAATAACCAATCTTCGAATAACAATTAAAACTATTACGGAAGAAACTCCATGTGGCACAACAACAATAATGCAAACAATTATAATAGAAACAATGCCTGGCAATACAATAACAATTCAAACAATTATGGTAGAGGTACTTGGCAAAACAATAATTATAATGGGAGAAACAATTCCTGGTCTTACAACAATCAAAGAAATCAGAGTCAATATAATAATCGATATGGTTATCAATATCAATCCTATAATAACAACAATAATGGAGAAAATAATACGTGGAAAAATTATAATCAAAATATTAATCAAAGAAAACCATTACAATATAATGACGTGAATCAAAGTAACATCAATTGTAACATGAACATTGAAGAGATTGTTGAAGAAAAATATAACCCTACACAAAATAATAATGGTAGTGATTTTAATATCAACAATTTAACTGAGTTTAAACTTAATGATAATGCGTTCATGACCACTTTAAAAGTAAATGATGCTGTTGTTACTATGCAGGTTGATACGGGATCCAAGTTTACAATTATACCTCATGATATGGCTAAACAAATAGGTATTAAAGATCTTAAAAAGTCCACTCTACAACTCACAGCTTATGATGGAAACTTAATCAAAATTATTGGCGTCACTCAAGTTAAAGTAACCTACGAAGGTATCACCAAACACTTGCAAGCCGTGATCGTTAAATCTAATAAAAATGCGTTATTGGGACGTATGTGGATTAATGCCTTTAGTAATATTTTGAACAAATTTATAGCAAACATTGATACCAACTATGAAGATGAAATAAAGAAATTAATAAAAGATTGCGAATCTAAACTGACTAAAAAACCGATCAACAAAGGGAATGTCAAGATATATCTACGTAACGATGCCAAACCGAAAATCATACCACCTAGACGGTTACCTTATTCAAAGATAGACGCTGTTACTAGAGAACTTATGAGATGGATAGGAGATGGAGTAATTGAGCCTGTAACAGATGCCCGATGGGCAAGTCCGATAACCGCTGTCTACAAGGATAATGGGAGCGTTAGGGTTTGCGCAGACTTCAAAGACACTGTCAACCCAGCCCTTGAGGACTTCAGATACCCACTTCCAAGAATAAATGATCTTATCGCTAAGCTCAAGGAAGGGAAGAAGTTCACCAAGATAGATTTCAAGGATGCGTTCCTACAAATTCCCATCGATGAAACCTGCAGAGACATATTAACTATATCTACACACATGGGGTACTACCGGTTTACCAGACTTCCTTTTGGGTTAAAGACTTCATCTGCGATTTTTCAACAAATTATGGATCAAATTTTCAGTGACATGAAAGATGTCATATTTTATATTGATGATCTACTAATTACGGGAAGTAGTGACGAAGTTCATTTCAAAAACATAAAGAAGGTTTTTGAAAGAATACTATCTCATGGTTTAGTGCCTAATTTTGCAAAAAGCTTATTTTTCAAAAAAAGTCTAAGGTTCTTAGGACACGACTTCGACGCCAAGGGGATCCACGCCAACCATGACAAGATCGAGGCGATCGTTAAAATGCCGGAACCAAAATCAGCCGCGGAATTGTCAACGTTTCTAGGTATGGCCGGGTACTACAGAAAATTTTTGAACAACTTCGCTGAAATAGCTGATCCTTTATACAAGATTGTTAACAAAGAAAAATGGGAGTGGAATTTAGAACACTCCAAAAGTTTTGATGATCTAAAGACATTGATTAGTCTTCCTCCAGCTTTGACGTACTTTAATCCTGAACTACCTATCGGAATTGCGACTGATGCATCTAAAAGAGGTTTAGGAGCTGTTTTGTTTCACACTGAAAAAGATGGCAAAGAAAAACCGATAGCTTTTGCATCAAGAACTTTAGCAAAATCCGAAACAAACTATACCAATATTGAGCGTGAAGCTTTGGCCATTATGTTTGCTATCAAGAGATTTCAAGAATACTTGATAGGGACTAAGTTCACTATTATAACGGATCATAAGCCGCTAATCCATATTTTCACCAAAGGGCTCAAAGATAATAGCACCATGTCATTAAGGTTACAGAAGTGGAGTATAATTTTGGGGGGTTACGACTTTAACATCAGATATAAAGCTGGTAAATACAATGTTGTTCCCGATTGCCTCTCAAGACTACCACAAGTAATTGATGATGACGTTATTGATGATATCGCGATTATAAATGACTTTGGCGATATACCTCTTAGTTTTGACCGAATACGTGATGAAACATCCAAAGATTTTGAATTATCTCAAGTTATGAATGATATAAGAAATAATGTGCCTATCCAAAATAAAATTTATGAAAATATTGAACAAGAACTAAGTATCATTAAAGATTGTCTGTACAAAAGCGACAAAATAATAATTCCGTCAAGTCTGAGAAAGAACATACTGAAGGCGTTACACGAAGGTCATTTGGGAGCAGGTAAAATTAAATCCTTAGCCAAAGATCGTATGTGGTGGTCTGGTATGGTCAACGACATTGATTTGGAAGTCAAAAGTTGCGATGATTGTAATATTTATCATGACAATCCAAAGAAAATACAAAATCCATGGGTAGCAGCAACTAAACCATTTGAAAGGATACACATAGATTATGCGGGTCCGTTTTTTACAAAGAATTGGTTGATAATCGTTGATGCTTACAGTAAATTTCCGGTTATAGTTCCGGTAAAGAGTATTACGACTGAATTCACGTTAAAGGAAATTTATAAAACTATTTCACTATTTGGTATACCTGAAACCATTGTTACAGATAATGGTACCAATTTCACGAGCAAAGATTTTGAAAAATTTTGTAGCAATTATGGTATAAAACATGTACTAACGTCGGCCTATCATCAGCAATCTAATGGACAAGCTAAACGTATAGTGAGAACATTTAAAGCTCATATGAAAAGAAACACAAAGATTGACTTAGAAACTGCGCTGGACAGATTTTTGTTCAACTATAGAAACACGCCGAATGACACTACGGGAGTTACACCGTCCAAAAGAATGTTTAACCGCGACATTAGAATAAAGTGGGATTTATTGAAACCTTTGGAGGATAAAGTTGGTGAAGTCTTCATGTCGTTACCACGAAATCGAACTTTTAATAGAGGAGACTATGTTTGGTATAAGAAACAGGGTGATGATACGTGGTGCAAAGGCAGCATCAAGCTTAAAGAGAGTAACACCATGTTTCAAGTTTATACTGATAAAGGGATAGTAAGTAGGCATCTTGATCAGTTAAGGAAAAGAGAATGTTACAACAGTTTAAAATATTATGAAATTGACCCTAAAAATTCCTCTAAGGGGGGAAGTGTGGACACAAAGAATGAGATTAAGATACCAATTACTAGACCAATAAGAATTAAAAATAAACCTGATTACTTAAAAGATTACGTGCTTAAAATTTAAATATAAAACGCAAAAAATATAAAACGCATAAAACGCTAAAAGTATAAAACGCATAAAACGCTAAAAGTATAAAACGCTATGATTGACTTAACACCTAAAAAAATATAATAATCATTATGATTTATCATTCCTTATTCTGGATTTTATTCCTTATTCCTAAATTATCATTCCTTATTACATATTTTATTGTTCCAAAATTCAAAATTTTATTCGTGCATATTATTCATATATTTGATCAACTATTCCAAATTACATATTCCGATTTATTCCAAATTCCAATATTCAACTGGATTAATGATAATAACAATTTTGAGAAATGTGAACAACATACGATAAGGATATCAAGCCTACAATGAACGTACAAACTCACGCAACTCTAATAAACGATTTTATCAAACCTACGTGATAGAATCAAGCCTACGAGAACATTTGATACTTATGCGCTAGCCAAGATAAAACCGAGTACAATCAAAACCGGAAAAACTTCTAGGACAACAAGCTCTTGATGACTGCTGAGAAGAAGCTTCGTTCTTTGTAGAAGAGGGGGAATGTTGATTGATTATATATTTAAATAAATTTAAATTTGAATAGTTAATTTTAGTTTTATTTGAATATTGTTTATTTTTAAAATATATTAAAGTTGATTGTTTAATATGTTCAATTAACTTTTTATATATATATATACTATGTTTTTAGATGTAAAAGAATATATAATAAAATTTGATTTAAAAAAGAATTAATTTAAATAGTTTCTTAAAAATAAACACTTTCTTTTATTTTGCAAATAACAAAATTTTACAGAGAATTTCATTATAAATTTTGTTTATTATTAAAAGTATCAATAGATTTAAATTTAGGTCTTAAAGTGTTGAAATATCTTTGGCTATCGTCTCTGATCTAGTGTCATGTAAGTCAATAAATTGAGAGTTCCTTCATTTTGAAATCAAATGATTCTATATCAGTAAACCTTTCTGCTATAGATAATTGATATGCTAACAAAATCCGAAAATATCATCCGCCAAAACACTAAAAAATGGTATTGCTTTCACTTAGTAGAAATTTATATCACTATGAAGTATTTCATATGGTTATTATTTCATTTTGAATACTTGGGCTAAAGAAGCAGGCATTTATAGCAGAGCTTCCAAAAGCTTTATATATTTATCATTATTATTGCATAAAAGTTTCTACACTTTGAGATTCTCTTCATTATAAAAAGAGCATGTAAGTGTTAAAGGGCCAGCAGAAATTCCATGAGCTCTTAATGATACGCCCGCCCTCCCTAACTAAATGATTGCATCAATTATTATAATTATTATTCTTGCTCTGTTGGTGTTAACATTTTTTTTTCAATACATATTGATATCTTTTGATTTATAGAGATGACTTTTAAAGCATCCGATATCACATTGAGATGATATTTATTTTGATGATGTTATTTAAATTTTCAGGAACATCTTTCTATCATTTATATACTTGACTTACCAATGTTCGGAGTTATTGTAACTCGTTTCCAGCGTATCTTGGTGAAAAAATGACGCAAACTTTACATAGCTAACTCATTTGTTTTCCAAGATATACTTGTATTTCTAATTGCAAGATTTAAA